ATCGAGAGCGAGGTCGAACCCACGCCGGCTGGGAGGAGAACAGCGAGGACGACGACGACTACAGCTACTACGATGGAGAGCAGTCGGAGGTCTCCTACGAGGATGGCGACGGCGACGAGGACGAGGGAGATCCCGAGGAGCCGCTCTACAGCGCCCAGGAGATCGAGGACGCCGAGACCGCGTTCGCCGCCCAGCAGCGCAGCTTCGAGGAAGCCCGAGACCTCCTTCGACGAGTCAAGACAGCAAGGAAGTTCTACCCCGTGGATGAGAAGAAGAAGCGAGAAGGTCGCGGAGGACAGCGCAAGTTTCAAGGGCCCCGGGCTGGATCCCGAGGCTCTGGCTCATCGAGCAAAGGACGAGGCCGAGGGGGCGGGCAGCGACGTGGCGGACCTCCTCGACGAGATGGAGATCGCCCCCAAGGTTGGCTGCCCCGAAAGGGGCCATGTCTGAAGTGCGGAGGCAATCGCGAGACGAAGGATCATCGGGATCGCACTTCATCGGCCGGCAGCAAAGGAAATCTTGAACGCCCAAAGCAAGGGTTTGGAGCTTTCGTCTTCTTCGGCGCCGAGCAGGATGCCGAAATGGAGGCCAACCTCATTACGAACGAGACGACCCGCATTGAGCTGGAGAATGCGATGTTCCCCAAGCCGGTGATAAAGAACAAGCCGAAGCGGGAGAAGAGGCAGCTCGACAAGACCCGGTATCTTCAGGTGGAGAAGTCCATCGAGATGCGAGAGCGAGTTGAGCACGTCAAGCTGCCGAGCTGGCCTACACTGGAGAAGCTCGACGACTGGATCCTCATGAGTGTGAAGCAGAGCTCCTCCAAGGGTTTCGGAATTCTGGACATTGGCGCGACCTCCAGCATCATGGGCATAGAAGCCGCCGAGAATCTACGCGACATCATTTACGAGCAGACGGGCCAGAACATCAAGATGGACGTCAGCCAGAAGAGTACGTTTATATTTGGCGATGGCAACTCCAAGACCTGCACCGGCAAGGCTACCTTTCCTCTCAAGATTGCTGGCGTGGACGGCGAGCTCGAGATCCTCGACGCAGATGCCCCGCTCTTGATCGGAGTGGATGTCCTGAGCCGCCTGGGGGCTGTGATCGACTGCGAGGCACATTCTGTTTGCTTCAAGAAGCTCGGACGTCGAGCTGAGCTGCTCGTCCTTCCGAGCGGTCACCTTGCACTGCCACTGGTGCAGCAAGCCGATTTTGGCTTCGTGGCATCCCTCGAGTAGGGGCCCACGCCCTCGACGCCCGAGACTGCTACGGTGCCGGAGGGAAAACGTGAGAATGAGCAGCCGATCGGAAGCAAGACTGACGAACAACCTGTATCTGTGCCCCATACGGTCCCCGACGAGGCCCCAGATCATGGAGCCCTGCAGGCCTCAAGCACCTCATCAGCACTTACGAGCACGGGGACATCCTCATTACCTACGCCTAAGGGGACATCATCAATACAAATGTCTGGGACATCATTTGTATCAGCCCCATACGGCCTCAGCTATGACATCATCGGGGTCACCCTCAGAGGCTTTCCCAGAGATCCCCGAGTTCCCAGCGCTCCAAACGGAAACGCCACCGTTCTCCAGAGCCATTTGGGCTACGAGCGATATGAGCTCAGAGCTCTGATTTCGGCAACCAGATTGCTTTCCATATTCGCATGAGCCTCAACCGCGAGACGAAATGCCGCAAAGCCGAGAGCCAGCAAGCGAAGCTGGAGAACGAGGAGATGGACGGCCCCTGGGAGCAGGTGGACGTTCGAGTGCCTCTGGAGGACTCGGGGGCATCGGCGACGGGCCGCTCACCGACGTCGACGAGGTCTACGCTGCAACGGATATTGCCGCAGGGGCGACTGATCGCTCACCAGGACACGAAGGGCAACATCTTCTACGCGGTCGAGAGCTCGGGGCTGGACCACAGCAAGAAGCGGATGACGGACATCTTCCTGCTGGAGTATCTGCCGAATTGGGAGATGTGGTCCAGCAAGCTCCTCCGGCAGTGGACACAGTGCCGCCGCTGGGGGCGGGTCATCCAGAAGGTCTTTCTCAAGACGATCGACCACGTGAACTGGCAGCTGGACAGTCTCGGCCTACCTGTGCAGCTGCTACCAGAGAAGTACCCGACCTGGCCGACGGACCTCGAGCACCGTGCGATGATCGAGCAGTGTCCGCCGAGCTCGAAGACAAAGAAACGTCCCCAGAAGTCGACAGCCGCGGCCGCGCGCGAGCAGAATCAAGAGCTGCGGGCCACCATCGAGACCGCAAAGTCCGATTTCTTGACCAAGTTTGCGGAGGTGAGTGCGTTTGCAGCGCTGAGCTCAGAGCAGATCCACGAGCAGCTCAGCATTGTCACGCTGGGCAACCACCTCAGGCCCCTGTGCAAGATGTGGGGATTGACCCAGTCGGGCAAGAAGGAGGAGGTGGTCGACAATATCATAGCGTACATCATCGAGCAGCGCGGCTCGGCGGCAGCGACGATCAAGATCGAGATGGAGACCGAGACGAAGAAGGCGGAGAAGGCGCCGACGACCATAGGCCCGGCGATCCCAGCTCACTACACGCAGATGTGCCAGCACCCGGACTGCAAGCTATGCCGAGGCATCGCGAAGAACGAGCCGATCGTGAAGGTGAAGCCCTACGGGTGGTGCCACCAGGCATGCGCTGCCAGGACGAGGGCCTGAGTGAGGTTCAGGTCGAGAGGTCGCGCCGGCACAGTGACGAGAGCCGGCCACTGAAAGGTCATCAGCGCCAGGTGATCCGCGCAGCGACTCACATGACGAGATCAGCCATCTTCGGAGCTATGTGCGCCCTCACGACCTTCGGCCGCTTGACGATGGTCGATGCGCGCACCCACGAGGACTCGAACCTCGGGGAGGTGTGCGACGAGAAGGGCTACCACTACGAGCGCCTCGGTCTGTTCAACGAGAACGACCTCAGCAAGCCGCAGGGTTACCGCACGGCGAAGTTCCTGCTGGACGAGAAGCGCCCAAAGCTCTTTGTCAGCACTCCACCATGCGGGCCCTGGTCGATGATGCAGAACGTCAACCAGCGCGACGACAGGCAGAGGGATAATCTTCGCAGGAAGCGCCTCAAGAGCCAGCGGATCTTTGAGAACAACAAGAGGCTCATAGAGCACCAGGTGCTCAACCTGAACGGCTCGGCCCTCGCCGAGCAGCCACACAACAGTCGGTCGTGGCAAAAGACCTGCTGGAAGGACCTCCACAAGATACTCCCCTACGAGGTGATCGTGGACGGCTGCGCCTGCGGACTGAGAGCTCCCGACACAGGCGAGCTCATGAAGAAGCGCTGGAAGTTTCTCGCTAACGACGAGGATCTGGGTGGCCCTACAGCCGCTACAATGCCGTGGAGGACACTACCACGAGGAGATTGAGAGCAGCCTGAGGACTGAGGCTTCGGGCTACTACCCCAAGATGCTGTGCCGCCGGATCCTCCGGGCTCTGACCCAGAGCCAGAACCAGAACTACTTCGAGGGCGAGGTTGTGAAGTGCCTCTGCATGGCAGCTACCCAGCAGCCACCGACGGAGCCTACGCTTGTGGAGGATGAGCCGACGATTCCACCTCAAGACGGCAAGGAGACTCACGACCTCACCAAAGAGACGATCAAGAAGATAGAGAGCTACATCAGGCTGGTGCACACCAACCTTGGACATCTACCCCGAGCTCATCTACTACGATACCTTCGCGACCGTGGTGCTCGCCCAGAGGTACTACGACTGGCCAGGACATTCAAGTGCGACATCTGCGACGCGCACCGACCACCGACAAAGCGGCCACCAGCCTCATCAGCAGAGCAGCCACATAATGGTCACGAGGTTCTCTTCGACGCCTTCTCATGGATCCGTCGCAGCAAGAAGACGAACGTGATGGCGCTGGCGATCCTCGACGCCGGCTCAGACATCCTCTACGTGCGACTGATCGACGAGAAGGAGATCCCGGGTACGACTCGACAAGTTCGTGCCGGCGACCTTCGACATATTTTTGCGACAAAATGGTTTTCTTGGATGGGGCGCCCGAAGGTCATGCGCTACGATCCCGCTGGCAGCGCCATCTCCAACGAGTTCCGCGAGTGGATGGAGAGCCAGGGAGTCTACTGTCTTCCATGCATGGCCGACGCCCACTGGCAGATCGGCAAGATTGAGCGCGCGATCGAAGCTTTCAAGGAGGCCCTCGACGCTTTCGACGAGATGGTCTCAGCTGAAGTGCCTACCAGCGAGATGATTGGACTCCAGACAGCTGCCAGGAACGACCTGATCAGGATTGATGGATTCAGCCCACTGCAGCGCTGTGCCGGACGGACCCCGACGGGGACCACGGTTAACTTACCCGACGAACCGAACAACCTGCCCCTCATCAGCGCCGAGCTGCAGGATGGCACCTTCAGCAGGGACGCTCAAGTTCGACGCCTGGCGCGGCTGGCTCGCATCCAGACCGAGAACTCCGACCGAGGCAAACGGGCGGAGGCCGCGCGCTTGAGGTCCTTCAAAAGGTACGAGACGGGCGACCTTGTCTTCGTCTACAGGAGGCTCCCACCAGGAGCCTGGATCAAGAAGGGCCAACCTCGCTCCATGCCTGGGCGAGGCCGCTGGTACGGACCTGGACGAGTACTCTGCCACGAGCCATCGATCTCGGGACATCGACCTGGTCTACCTGGGACAGTGGTCAACGTCACACTGGCTGGACGCCTCTATCGAGTTGCCCCAGAACAGCTTCGACCTGCTACGCCCTCCTAGGAGGCGATGGACTCTCTACGCTCGCGTCGCGAGCAGCCGGGGACATGGACCTTCGGCGACGTCCAGAAGCTGCTCGACCAGAACGAGGTGATCGACCTTTCGAACGAGTCCCCGCCTACTGGCGAGGACCTGGCCGCTGACGACGGCGAGTCTGTCAGCGCTCGCACCTTCGAGGGCAACGCGAGCGGACCCTGGGCCATTCCTGAAGACGAGGAGCTACCCGTGCCGCGAGGAGATCCTCGGAGCTTGGGCCCAGGAGGAGGAGGCGGCGGAGGTGGTGGAGCCATCGAGGCACCCCCAGGACTGGAAGAGCGACCTCTTCCTGGACCGCGACCTCCAAGGCGATACGGAAGAAGGGCAATCCCTGGGCCGAGGCGGCCGAGGTCCAAGACCCTCTCATACAGCCAGCACAGCCAGAAGCACCACCAGGCATTCCACAAGAGGAAGGCCACGAAGCTGGACACCAAGAGGAAGCCGAGCTACCTGCAGAAGAAGAGATCGTCATGGAGGCCCCTCCCGACGACGACCAAGCAGAGCGTCGGTCTCAGCAACCCATTGCGGTGGACACGGACGACGACCTCGACGAGACGACGGCGCCTGACATGAACGACATGCGCCGGCTGCGGTCGCCTGGCTCGACCGAGCCACCTGCTAAGAAGCAGAGGATCAATGTCGCGACCCAGGAGGCCTTCTCCTACTACCTGCAGGAAGGCAACTTCTACGGGGACTACACCTACAGCGTCCAGCAGTACGACGAGACGAAGGAGGACGACGAGCTCATCGTGCTGGATATCCCCGTCAGCAACGAGCACGCGCTCATGGCCTACATGGACAATCCTCGCAATTTCGTGGCATCACAGGCCCGGAAGGGCCGAGTGGGAGTTTCTTTCAAGAAGGCGACGCCTGAGGAAAAGAAGCTGTTACTTGAGGCCCAGCAGAAGGAGTGTACCTCGGTCCTCAGCACGAAGGCTGTCAGGATCCTCAGCCGCAAGGGGATCGACCCGGCGCGCCTACTGCGCTGCCGTTTCGTGCTGACCTGGAAGAAGGACGAGCAGGGCAACGTGCTCCGAGGCAAGGCCAGATTGGTCGTGCTTGGCTTCAGCGACCCCGATCTACTACACCTATGGACAGAGTCACCAGTTGCCTCAAGACGTGCACGACAACTTCTACTGGCCATGGCAGCAAGACACAAGTGGAAGCGGGAGAAGGCAGACGCAGTGACAGCCTTCCTCCAGGGCGAGACTGACGAGGAGAAGAGGAAGATCTACGCCGACCCGCCGAAAGATGTTCGTCAGGCATCCGGCATGAAAGATGACGATGTACTACAGTTCCTCAAGCCTATGTATGGGTTTGTACATGCTCCTCGCAAGTGGTGGCTCCATTTCCAGGACACGCTCAGAACGCTGAAGCTGGAGATCGTGCAGTGCGAACCTTGCGTCTGGGTCATCCGAGTCGGCAACAAGATGGTTGGCATGGTCATCCTACACGTCGACGATATGATGATTGCCGGCGATCACAACAACTCGACCTTTCTCAAGAAACGTCAGGAGATTCAACAAGCGTTCGAATGGACACCCTGGGAGAGCCGAGCGTTTGTGCAGTGTGGCATCAGCGTTCGACAGAACGAGGATTATACCTGCAGCCTCGCACAGGACAGCTACAGCCTGAACGTGGAGCCCATCAAGATACGACGTGGGAGGAAACCCACAGAAGGAGTTTCAGACAAGGAGAGATCAGACCTACGAGGCCGACTTGGTACAGTCGGATGGCGAGCTCAGCAGTCGGCCCCGTGGTTCAGCGCAGAAGTCTCTCTACTTCAAGCGGAGATACCTACGGCCACGGTCTCAACCATCTAGAAGATCAACAAGCTTATCCGCACCATGAATGACACCGCCGACGTAGTCACGCTCATCCCGGCCATTGAGCAGATTGCCGTGGTTGGCTGGGGCGATGCAGCATGGGCCGCCCGTATCACTGGCGAGTCCCAAGGCGGAGAAATCGTTGTTCTGGCCCCCCTGTCCTTCCTGAGTGGCTCGACAGAGACGGTTGCGCCTATCTCTTGGAGATCATGCAAGCTACCCAGAGTGGCCAGAAGCAGTACGAGTGCGGAGGTCCAGATGATGACGGAGACCCTGGACGAGATCAGTTACGTGCGACTGTTCATCTAAGAGCTGGAGTGCGACCAAGTGGACTACACCAACAAGCAGCACGTGAACGACGCCATCTCATCCTGCCCTGGCGTACTTGCCACAGACGGTAAGTCGGGCTACGACGCGATCGAGAAGAGTGAGTCAGCTGGTCTCGGACTACGTGACAAGCGGACGAGCATCGAGTGCTTGGGCATTCGACAGCAGAAGGAGCAGACGGCCCTCCAGATACGCTGGGTACACAGCGACGCCATGTTAGCCGACGGATTGACCAAGGATCGTGCCGCCAAGGTCTTGCTGGAGTTCTTCAGATCAGGCCAACGCTGGAGACTCGTGGACGACCCACTTCACCGCAGTGCCCGGAAGCGCAAGACCGAGGGCCTGGACAAGCTCGACCATGGCAAGCCGATCTCAGACGATGACGATGATGCTATGCTGGAGGCCCTGATCTACTACGCCCGCGACAACCCCGACAAAAAGGAGAGCCCGGCTGGAGATGCTGCCCTGTGGGGCATGATTAAGCCGCTCACGCGCTCTGTGCTTTCTGTGAATTCAGTTGCCAGAGGCAGGTCTCGATGCCGTAACATCGATCTTTAGCTTTTGGGCGTGCAATTCACAGCCCAGAGCCTGCCTCTTCAGAGCCTACTTACGACAGATGGCCCCTAGAGGCCTAGCGTGACAGATATAGGCTTCAGGCTCCGAAGGAGCCTCGTGTATGTTAGCCAAGCGTTTCCCGGCGAATCGGGCCTCCCAAGACTCCAGGTTTCAGCAAGCCTTGCTTAGTAGGCCCTCCGTTTCCCTAGCAACAAGTTGCAACATACATTGCGAAGGCCTGACGGCCGGTGCCGCCGACCCTGTTCGCAATGCGCAGCAAGAGATTACGAGGTTGCTCAAGGTCGGCTTGGCTGGAGCCCAGGGGAAGAGGAGTCCCAGGGGGGGGCGTCGTATCTGACCCGGGGGGGGGGTCGCTACCCCCCCCCCCCTCCCGCGGGGGAGGGATCAAAGGGAAGGGGCTTCCCTTCGACTCAATTACGAGGTTGCTCAAGGTCGGCTTGGCTGGAGCCCAGGGGAAGAGGAGTCCCAGGGGGGGGCGTCGTATCTGACCCGGGGGGGGGGTCGACACCCCCCCCCCCCTCCCGGCGGGGGAGGGATCAAAGGGAAGGGGCTTCCCTTCGACTCAATTACGAGGTTGCTCAAGGTCGGCTTGGCTGGAGCCCAGGGGAAGAGGAGTCCCAGGGGGGGGGCGTCGTATCTGACCCGGGGGGGGGGTCGACACCCCCCCCCCCTCCCGGCGGGGGAGGGATCAAAGGGAAGGGGCTTCCCTTCGACTCAATTACGAGGTTGCTCAAGGTCGGCTTGGCTGGAGCCCAGGGGAAGAGGAGTCCCAGGGGGGGGCGTCGTATCTGACCCGGGGGGGGGGTCGACACCCCCCCCCCCCTCCCGGCGGGGGAGGGATCAAAGGGAAGGGGCTTCCCTTCGACTCAATTACGAGGTTGCTCAAGGTCGGCTTGGCTGGAGCCCAGGGGAAGAGGAGTCCCAGGGGGGGGCGTCGTATCGACCCGGGGGGGGGTCGACACCCCCCCCCCCTCCCGGCGGGGAGGGGGAAAAGGGAAGGGGCTTCTTTTCGGCTCAATTACGAGTGTTGCTCAAGTCGGCTTGGCGGAGCCAGGGGAAGAAAGTCCCAGGGGGGGGGCGTCGTATCTGACCCGGGGGGGGTCGACACCCCCCCCCCCCTCCCGGCGGGGGAGGGATCAAAGGGAAGGGGCTTCCCTTCGACTCAATTACGAGGTTGCTCAAGGTCGGCTTGGCTGGAGCCCAGGGGAAGAGGAGTCCCAGGGGGGGGCGTCGTATCTGACCCGGGGGGGGGGTCGACACCCCCCCCCCCCTCCCGGCGGGGGAGGGATCAAAGGGAAGGGGCTTCCCTTCGACTCAATTACGAGGTTGCTCAAGGTCGGCTTGGCTGGAGCCCAGGGGAAGAGGAGTCCCAGGGGGGGGCGTCGTATCTGACCCGGGGGGGGGTCGACACCCCCCCCCCCCTCCCGGCGGGGGAGGGATCAAAGGGAAGGGGCTTCCCTTCGACTCAATTACGAGGTTGCTCAAGGTCGGCTTGGCTGGAGCCCAGGGGTTGCTCAAGGTCGGCTTGGCTGGAGCCCAGGGGAAGAGGAGTCCCAGGGGGGGGCGTCGTATCTGACCCGGGGGGGGGGTCGCTACCCCACCCCCCCCTCCCGGCGGGGGAGGGATCAAAGGGAAGGGGCTTCCCTTCGACTCAATTACGAGGTTGTTCAAGGTCGGCTTGGCTGGAGCCCAGGGGAAGAGGTCTCCCAGGGAAAGGGAAGGACAGAGACGACGAGTACAAAGAATGACGGAGATGACGGCTCGAACGGAAAAGCCCCTCACACACGCCGACAGGGTCGGCGGATTATAAACAGAACAGGTTCAACCGAAACCGTTCTGGCTCAAGACCTTGCAGCGTCACAGCGACGCTGGATTTCTGGTGTGCGCCCAAGAGACGCAGAGCAGCGAACTGCCCGCTAACAAACAGATCCTGCTCCCTACCATATTGTGATCAGCATCGCACAGACACTGCCCTATCATAGACGACCAGCTTGAGACGAGCCCAACATCCCCTACAGTGATTTCAACGTATTGTCAGAAGAGAGAAGAGAGTAGCATCTATCAGGATTGCTATCAGGGCAGTGGTCATAAGCGGGACAATTGCACAGAGAGCCCCAAGACAGCCCAAGAGAGACCCAAGAGGGCCCCAGACGGCCCAAAAGGGTCGGCCTGTGGGGCTCACCGAACCCCCCGAGACGGCCCAAGAGGCCCCGAAGCCTGCCCAGGAGGGCCCCAAGACGGCCTCAGGGAGGCCCAAGACGGCCCCGTTCGAAATCATGTTCCCGGAAGCCTCTCCGGGACAAGGTTTCCAGGCTCCCAGCGCTCCCGCTTGGGCCCCAGGACAGTTCCAGCGAGGCCCAAAAGGGCCCGAGATGGCTTGAAGATGGCCGAAGAGGGCCCCAAGAGGGCCTTCAAGAGGCAAACATCTGCCATTTTTCCTTTTTTTAAAACGTACATTTTCAGCATACTCGCTGGCTTCGTCTTCGCTGTGCCCCAGACGCCCCCGCAAAGCCCCAAGACAGCCCAAGAGAGACCCAAGAGGGCCCCAGACGGCCCCAACGGGTCGGCCTGTAGGGCTCACCGAACCCCCCGAGACGGCCCAAGAGGCCCCGAAGCTGGCCCAGGAGGCCCCCAAGACGGCTTCAGGGAGGCCCAAGAGGGCCCCGTTCGAAATCATGTTCCCGGAAGCCTCTCCAGGAACATGACTTCCGGGTCCAGAGGACGCCCTAGAGGGCCCCAGGACAGCTTCAGCGAGGCCCAAGAGGGCCCGAGATGGCTTCAAGATGGCCGAAGAGGGCCCCACGAGGGCCTTCAAAAGGCAAAAATCAGCCCGTCCCCGTAGTAAAACGTACGGACTCGGCAATTGGCGACCGCAGCTGCCGTCCCTTCGTGCTGGGCGCGTGCGAACCTGGCGTTCAGTTTGGACGGAACGTGTCGGGTCTGTTGCCAATCGGGGCTGCGCCAGGTTAGGCCACCCCCAAGGTCAGGTTCGGGAATGGGTCGTAGCAACACGCCGACGACGACGACGACGACGACGACGACGACGACGACGACGACGACGACGACGACGACGACGACGACGGCACTCCCTAACAGGCTCCCCAAGACGCTCCAAACCCATGCTCCCAGAAGGCCTTCTGGGAACCCGATTCATACGGCCTCCGCCCCCCTACACAACCATTTTCCTCGAAGGCCTTTCGGAATGCAGATTGGTATGCGTGGACTGTGGTCTACTACTTACTTCAGTAGAGCAGTAAATTCGTCAAGGACTGGGGCCTGCTAGAACCTGAGAGCGCGCGAAGCGCGCACGATGGTTCTAGTAAATCTATATAGAATGAGAATAGGAATAATAATATTACTAATCACAATATTACAAATAGCAATACGTAATATTAATACTACTAGTAAACATATTATCCATAATGATAATAATAATAATAGTAATAGTAATAATAATGTGTATATATATACTCAGACTCGCCCATCCCCAGGTTCAGTTGTAACCGACTCATATTCAGACCCGCTCATATTTGGCGAGTCATACTCAGACTGATTCTCACTCAAACTCACGCTGGTTCATTCATTCTCCGGTCAAGTCGTACACCGAATTATTCATATTAGTACACGCTCAGACACGCATTAAGGACAGTGCCAGGAAAGAGATGCACATATGGGGATCCCCGCGCCGAATCTACGCTACATGCTGGCAGTTCGCAGCAGTATCCTAACATCTCTTCCTGGCACATCCAGACCCCCCGTTGCCCAGTTCACCGAACCCTCCCTTTCCCTCGACCTACCCCCCGGTCGAAATGCCACCGAGCGACGAGCCCGACCACGGCCGCCCATGAAATAAGCGCTCCGCTGCACCCTTGGGCTGTCCGCAGATGCACCAGATAACGCCCGAACAGCCTGCCTACGAAGTACTGTCGCTCAGAGGCCCTCAACGGGATCAACCAGAAGGCATCCTTCTCGGTCGAGGCCTCGCTCGCGGGCGCAAGACATGTCCGTACCCGCGGCCTCGCCGGCCCAGCCCCCGGGCCGCGACCCCACGGGTGCGGGGCGCCTGTCCGCGGAGGCGCGCGGAGCGGGAGGTGCCTCCACGGAGCCGCGCCCCGGAGCCTAACATCGGCCACGCTCGGAGGGGGCTACGGGGGAGGTGGGAAGGCTTCTTAGAAACACCCCTGCTTCTTAGAAGGACCAGGCCTCGTCTGCAGCTGTGGGCCAGGCCAGTCTCCTTCCAAACGGCCGTCCCCCTCCCCCAGCGAGGGCGCGGATACGTGCAGAGATGCGGAGGAGGAGGAGGAGGAGGAGGAGGAGGAGGAGGAGGAGGAGGGGGAGGAGGAGGAGGAGGAGGAGGAGGAGGAAACATGTTCGCCGCTCGTGTCTCGTGCGTGGGGGTGCCAGGGGGGTCCTCGTGCCCGCCGCCGCCCGCGGCCCTCGCCGCCCCCCGCCCCCCCCCCCCCCTCCCCGAGCAGAGGGGAGCCTGGGGGCCGCGTGCTCGGCGCACGCGCTCGCGGCGCTGGGGCTCCGCCGCGCGCGGGGCGCCCCGGGCAGTGTTCGCGTCGCGGCCCCCGGCGGTCCCCACCGCCTGGAGAAGGATCCTCTCCCCCCCTCCGCCCCCCGCCCTCCTCCCCCCCCGTTGTTGGTTGTTTTTCGTGTAGTCTTTGTGTTGTTTTGCTTTGGCTGTTTGTTTTTGTTTGTTTTTTTGTTGTTGTTTTGTTTTTTTTTTGCTTTTGTTTTTTTTGTTTATTTTTTTTGTTTTCTTTTTTTTTTTTTTTTTTGTTTTTTTTTTTTATTTTCTGTGTCTTTTTTTTTTTTTATTTTTTTTTTTTTTTTTTTTTGTTTATCGTTTTTTTTTTTTTTTTGTTTTGTTTGTATTTTTTTTTTTTTTTTTTTTGTTTTTTTGTTGTTGTGTTTTTGTTTCGTTTTTTTTTTTTTTTTTTTATTTTTTTTTTGTTTTTTTTTTTTTTTTTTTGTTTTGG